TACTTTAAACATGTCATCAGGATAGATCAATCAGTAGAAAAAGACATCATGGTTGGTAGAGTGTCAGCAAAAAGGAGAGCATTCTCTCAATGAGGTATACTGACACAATAGCCAAAGCAATGGACTCAAACATAGCAACAATCATGAAGATGGTGCAAGGCTGTGTCACATTTGTTCAGTTATCCATAGGTTGCTGTGAATCAGAGCCAACTTGATGGCACTGTTATGGATTGAATTGTGTCTCCCCAAATTATGTGTCAACTTGGCTAGACCATGATTCCCAGTATTGTGTGATCGTCCACATTTTGTCATCTGGTGTGATTATCCTATGTGTTGTAAATCCTGCCTCTATGATGTTAATGAGGCAGGATTAGAGGCAGTTACGTTAATGAGGCAGGACTCAATCTATAGGATTAGGTTGTATCTTGAGTCATTCTGTTTCGAGATATAAAAAGAAAGAAGAGAGCAGAGAGACAGGGGGACCTCATGCCACCAAGAACGAAGAACTGGGAGTGGAGCACATCGTTTGGATCTGAGGTCTCCATACTGAAAAGCTCCTAGTCCAAGGGAAGACTGATGACAATCAATCAGAGAGAGAAAGCCTTCCCCTGGAGCTGGCACCCTGAATTTGGACTTTTAGCTTCTTAGGCTGTGAGAGAATAAATTTCTGTTTGTTAAAGCCATCCACTTGTGGTATTTTTGTTATAGCAGCACTAGATAACTTAAGAATTTGGTACTGAGAGAGTGGGGTGTTGTTCTAACAGATACCGAAAATGTGGAAGTGGTTTTGAAACTGTGAATGGGTACAGGCTAGAAGAGTTTTAAAGTGCCTAATAGTAAAAGCCTAGAGTGCTTTGAAGAGACTGTTGGTGGAATTATGGACTTCAAAGACAATTCTGTTGAGGACTCAGAAAGAAGTGAAAAGAGTTGTAACACCAGAGCTGTGCAGAAGCAGCAGCATCATAGAAATGGCAGCAGCAGTACCAAGAGACCAACGTGGACAGTGCTGGAGCTGACCCATGGAGCAAGAGAGCTGAGTGCCTTTGCACAGGAGGCTTCCTGGCAGAGTGGGGTGCCTCTGGCAATTATTGGTGGAACTAGACTTGCCAATCCGTGGAGCAGGAGAGCTGAGTGCCTTCTGGCCGAGGTTTAATAGTAGAGTGGGGTGCCTCCAGGCACTTATCGGTAGAGCTAAAGCGCTTTGGAACACTTGTCTGATCAGGGCAGACGTGGGCAGCGTGGCCTGAGGGGCCAAGAGGCCAAGGAACCAGGAAGCAGAAGCTGAAGAGACAAGGAACACAAGAAGCAGAGCTGCCTCAGTCTCACAGGGTACGGCCACAACCTCTGGGGTCTCAAAAGTGTGGAACCATGGCCTCTGAGGTTTCAAAGGGTGGGGCCGCAGCCTCCTAGGTTTCAAAAAGTCAGATCTTCACCAACTCGGTTCTGGAGTGTGGGCTGCCATTGCCAAGTGCCAGCAAGATGGGACCAGATCTGCTGCCCAAAGGTGAGGGCATTCCCAAGGGGCAGAAGAACAGGGCCTACTGGGGCCGAAGGGGTATGTCACCACTCAGATGGACTAGGAGAATGGGACTGTCAAAAGCTGAGGGAGCAGAGTTGCCGTTCCACTGGGCCTGGAAGGTGGAGCTGAAGCCCAGGGCCAAGGGGCCTCCACCTAGAATCCAGACAGTGTGGTCAACACCCAGAGTCTGGAGGTCAGGGTCATTGCCTAAACGGTCTCAGAGAACAGAGGATTATTTTCAAGTCTTGAGAACCAATGTCATGTGTTTTGCTGATGGGCTTGGTGCCTGTTATCCCTTCCTTCCCTCCAGTTTCTCCTATTTATAATGGAAATGTCTAGCTTCTGCCTGTTCCACCATTGTCCTTTGGAAGCAGATAACTTGTATTCTAGATTTCACAGATGAAGAGAAATTTTTGGATTTTGGACTTGGAGTTTAATTAAGACTTTTACTATGCTATGATGGGATGAATGTGTTTTACATGTGGCAAGGACATGAATTTTTGGGAGCCAAAGGGTGGAATAGTATGGATTGAATTGTGTCCCCCCAAAATGTGTGTCAACTTGCCTAGGCCATGATTCCCAGTATTGTGATTGTCCACCATTTTATTATCTGATGTGATAATCTTATGTGTTATAAATCATGCCTCTATGATGTTAAAGAGGCAGGATTAGAGGCAGTTATGTTAACGAGGCAGGAATCAATCTACAGGATTAGGTTATATCTTGAGTCAATCTCTTTTGAGATATAAAAGAAAGAAGTGAGCAGAGACAGGGGACCTCGTGCCACCAAGAATGAAAAACCAGGAGGGGAACGCATCCTTTGGACCTGGGGATCACTGTGCGAGAAGCTCCTAAACCAAGGGAAGATTGATGACAGGGACTTTCTCCCAGAGCTACTGGTGCTGGCACTCTGAATTCAGACTTCTAGCCTCTTAGACTGTGAGAGAATAGATTTCTCTTTGTTAAAGCCATCCACTTGTGGTATTTCTGATGTAGCAGCACTAGATAATGAACACAGGCACCTAACAACAACAACTTTTCATTAGGGAGAATAATGAGTCATGGAAAATGCTGATGTTTTACCCTCATACAACAAACAAAGGTTTATAGTTAATTGTTTAAAAGAATATGGGTGAAATTTTCTCTAAGAACAGATCTAATTATACTTGATTGAGAAACACTTAGTCATATATACATATGCCAACCTTGAAGAGAACAGACATTGGATTGAGGAGATGCGTGTTCTATAAATTTTCCTAGAATTTCCCATTGAGATTATATTGGTTGTCTGAGTGGTATCTTCCCTCATAATGCTCTCTTTATTAGTTTCCTTCTGCTTTCTGTCTTACTTCTTCATCACTTTTATGGTGTTTCCTGGTATTGCCTCTGAATAAACTACTTTCACTTGAATCCTTATCTCAGGGTGTGCTCCTGGGAGAACCCAAACTAAGACAGACATTTTTGCAACAACTGGAGACATTGACAAGAGGGCTATAGCCTAGATAATGTTATTGTATTCTTGACTGTGATAATGGTACTGTGGCTATGTCCTTGCTCTAGAGAGATTCATGCTGAAGTATATAGGGGCAAAGTATGATTTTGTAACTTATTTTCAGATGGTTTATCAGGAAAAATGGAGAGAGAAAAAATATAGAGACATATTTACAAGGGTGAATCAAGGTGAAGAGTATATGGGAATTCATTTCACTCTGCTTTCAAATTTTTGATAAATTCAAAATATTTCAAAATAAAAAGTTGGGAAAAGATGCAAAAGTTTCTGTGGACCCTAAGGTGAACACAAAATTTACTTGTGAGGGGAAAAAAAAAAAAAAAAAAAGGCTGGCAGCCTGCCCAGGATCGCATGGCCAAAAAAAGAAAAAAAGGCATGGGAAGAAATGAAGGATCATGCAGTTGCCTCTGCATATAATTTTTAGGTGGGAAAGTTTCTTGAACATGACCAATTTTAAGGCCAAAGTGACTCAGTTAATTAATTGGGCTGGTTAAACCTGAATTGGCCTAATTTAGCTTTCCACTGTGGAGCAGAAATGAGTGCTCATGAAGGAGGGTAATGTAGGCATAAGAGCTAAGAGTGAGAGTTATGCACAGAAAGAAAAAGACAGAATAATGAACACAGTTACATAAAGAGTGAATCCTAAATATCTGAGCCTATTTTGTGATCAGTTCTGAATTTGTCTTAAGGGATAGCTTCTTGAGTCTTACAACTTCTCATCTTTCTTCTGCTTTAATTAGACCTTGAGAATTTTCTTGACTCACGCATCCTGATCTTTCCCAGGGGAGCAACTAAGATGAGTTTGAGTTAATGGATTAAAACAATGTCCAAGGGTGATATGACAGACAAGTGTAGTCATGAGAAGAAGCAACAGTTAAAAGCTTAAGTGTTAGGAAGTGTACCTTGGTCCTGAACAAGTGAGTGTCTCAAAGAACATCATCCCAAGTTTTCAACAAAATGTCTGAGATAAAAATTTAGTTCTTAATCATTAGATGATTAAATTTGCACCCCTAAAATTATAGAAAATAAATGTACATTTTTTGTGAAATGTGTTCCTAAGTGTTAACAAATTTTGTTAGCATTGTGCTATTTTGCATACACTATTTTTAAAGGATGTTTGAAAATGTAAGAAAATTGGATTTACTCAATGTATTAGCTATTTTATTATTGGTTTTACATAAAATATTGAAATGCTTAGGGACATTTTGTGCTTTGTATTTGTAATTTCAGCTTGCATTGTGTTTCAAACATTTCAGAGGGTCAAGTATATCAAATTAATAATATTTCTTACAACCGAAGATAATTTAAGAAATACAGTGTTAAATGTTCAGGGAATTGCATCTGTCAGTTGTTTCTTTGATTTCCTGCACAGCTGAGTTCTAACCATCCAAGTAAGCTGATTCTTCTCCCACTTCCATGGCCAACTCTGCTGCAGTGATCTCTTGTTCTCAATTTCCTGGAGCTCTGACCCTCTGCACTGCTCAGGGGGAAACCTTGTGTGGTTGGTCTTCCTTTCAATATGTGCCTCACCTTCCCTACTATATGCAATGAGTTTTCCTGGACCTCTAAGGGCTAAATAAGTATCACTGACTGACACATACATGCCCATTACTATTTCTCTAGAAGCTGGAAATTCCTCCCTCAGTACCATCTCAGGAATGTCTATAAAGTAGTTTTTAACTTTCTCCCACTACCTCCAAACTTCTAGGCCAATCAGAGTTTTTGGCCTGAAAGAGACAGGGAAATCAAGTATGTAAGTAATAGAGACCAGAATGGATAAGAATCTTTAGGGGGAAAAAAATCTTTATTCTTTTTCCCATAAAGACAAGAATTTAGTGCCTTTCCTTGCTGAGCTATGAACACATGGATTTCACCAGAAGTGCTGTCTCTAATCACCAGCATCTGAGATGTTTCCTGCATCCTATTCACATGCAGGGGCTTCTGGAAGGAGTCACGACAAAGGCTTCCTCTTTAATATTCTTCAGAAAATGGATAATTAGGGTGGCCAATAGCACTAGAATAAGAACAAAAAATGCATAATGTAGATTAAAAGACTATTTCAGTAACAACAGAGCTTTCTAAGAAGTTGGCATTAGTATGAAAGTTAAACATCTTTTTTCCTGGCTGCTTGTAAAGTCTGCCTTTCATAAGCATGACTTTATAATAAATGTTTTTAGAAAATACTAATTAAACAATTACAATTATATTCCCATGCCTGGAACTTAATACACAGATGCAAATCTACAAATATATTGCCCTTAGCTACATCTGTCAACAAAGCAAAGAGATGTCCTGTGTGTTTTCATTAGAATTCTAAGTGAAAGCGGAAACCGATTCTGCCTTGCTTTGAACAGCAATAAGTCCAGGTTCATGGTTAAACTAATAAATATTTTAGGGTGATGCAAATTGTGGTTAGCAATTTTACTCCACTTCATTAATTCATTTCCTACCACAGGCCGAATATTGCATTACTCAGAAATGGATACAATGACATATATAAGATATTATACCATCTCCAAGGAGCTTCCTACATAGTGAGATCCCTATGTATAACAACAGAAAGTATAAAGCGATGGAAAATGATTAATTATAAGTAAAATATTTAATTAATTATTGAATTACTGATAGCTTCCCACTTTTCCTTTCTCTTTGCATCATTTCTGTTTTTTCTCTAATTTTCAGTATACTAATAAAAATATTGCCAATGATAATAAAATAGCTACCCATTTTTGAGTACTAACGATGTGTCATTGTGCTAGTCCCTTTTCACACATGATCACATTATTTCTGCTATGAGTTAAAACACCTACAGCAGAAGGAAACACTTCCTGGCTTTCCCTCATTTACAAGGAATGTCCTTTCTCAGAGTCCTATAATTTAGAGCAAGTAGGAATAGCGAAGAACTTCTGTTGGCTAAAAATGGTCTCCAACATTGAGGTTTTGTCTACACACTCTTTTCTTTGTTTTAATCTCTCTTCTCTTAACCTTTTTCATTCTTTGCATTGAGAGCTCCATATCTCAGAAAATCAAAGCCATAGGTTCTTATACAAAGGCCATTCTTTCCAGAGATAAGTGCAGTGTTTGGGTCCTGAACAAACATGGGATGAAAAGATAGGCAGAGATTTGAAAACTATTAAGACCTAAATTTACAAGGTCTAGTGGAAGTGATGGAAATCTCTGGCTTGGACCAGAGAGCTAATGAAGATGCTTTACTTGAGCAGGTTTGAGGAATTGAACAGGTTTAGGGGAAGACAATGACAAAAACAGTTTTGGACACATTTCATTAAGTGATGTCTTTAATAGCCAAAGTATGTGTCCAGTACTATGTTACAGAGATGAGAGGCCTACACAGAAGAGGTAAAATCATCAATGATGTTGGTTTTCTCTCGAAAGTATATGAAATGAGGAGAGCAGAGTACGGGTGAATGTTCAAGCTGACCCTGGGTCCCTCACACCCTTTTCCTGATTCAGTGAACAGAACTTCGGGGTGAACACATTCTGAGAGTTTCAGGTAAGCTCATGTCTCATCCCTTCCTAAAACTGGCCACTATCTTCTGGTATTGACCTACATTTTAACATCCCTCCTACTTTACTCATCTGAAAATTAATTGAGCAAATATCTTTACCAACAATACTTACTATTCACCGAACAATACTTACTATTCAGCATTAAAATAGCGAACATTGCGGTTTAGGCCATCTAGGACTTTCATGTCCTCTGAAGTCAACTGGAATTCAAAAACCTACCAAGAGAAAGAAAGAAATTTTAAATTACTTTTAAATATAATTTCCAATCTTGGAAAATCCAAGCGAATCATCAGTATAACCAACAATATGGCTAGGTACAAAAATCAATGAACAAAATCAGTGAATTTTCCAAATACTAAACTAAAACAGAAGAAAAGATTCCATTTATACTAGCCTAGTAAGAAGTATCAATGACTGTAGACTTATTGGCAAGACATTTGCATGCTAGATAATGGGAAATTAATCTGATAAAAATTCAGTCATCTTCCACCTCAGTGAAATTTCTAGGGGTCCAGTGGTGTGGGAAAAGTCAAGATATTCCTTCTAAAATGAAGAATAAATTGTTACATACAACTAAAAATGAAGTACAATGCCTGGTGGGCCTTTTTGGATTTTGGAGGCAACATATCCCTTATTTGGGTGTGCTTCTCCGGTCTATTTACCAAGTGCCTTGAAAAGCTGCTAGTCTTGAGCGAGGCCCAGAAGAACAGAAGGATCTGCCACATGGTCAGACTGCCATGCAAGTCAATCTGCCAATTGGGCTATATGATCTGGCTGATCCAATAGTTCTTGAAGTGTCAGTGGCAGATAGAGATACTGTTTGGAGTCTTTGGCAGGCCCCTGTTAATGAATCACCAATTTTGGAGCAAAGCTCTGCCATCTTCTGCAGATAACTACTCTCCTTTTGAGAAATAGCTTTTGTCTTTTTCTGAGCCACAGTAGAGACTGAGTGCTTAACCCATGTGACATCAAGTCACCATGGGGCCTGTCTTAGGCTGGATTCTGTGGAGGAGCAAAACCAGTGAAGTGTATATATATATCTAAATATATGTACAGAGAGATTTACTTCAAGGAAATGGCTCACATAGTTGTGGAGGCTAGGGAGTCCCAAATCCGTAGGTCAGCAGCAGGCTGGAGGCTTCTCATGACTCACAATGCTGTAAGGGCTAATGAACTGCAAATCAGCAGGTTAGATGGCAGGCTGCTGGCTCACAGGGATGTGGGAGGTAGCAAATCCTAAAATCTGCAGGTCAGATGGCTGGCTGCTGGCTCACATCCCAAGAATTGGAGGTCAGAGGATGATGAGTTGGATGTAGGATCCAGAAAAGTGAGCTTTGCCAGAACATTTATATGTATTGGATGCAGGCACCTCTCATGAAACTCCCCTTCCAAGTCATTGGCTACTCACAACAGATCACATTATGGATGGTGATTTCATCATATCTGCCAAATCACTGAGAATCATGGACCAGCCAAGTTGACATATAACCTTAACCATCATACTGCCTGAGCTGCTGATCATGAACTGGGTGTTGTCTGACCCACAGAGTCATAAAATCGGATGTACACCTCAGCATTCCATCTTTAAATGGAAGTGATATATACGAGATCAGGCTCGAGCAGGAACTGAAGGCACAAATATGGACATAAGGAAGTGGTCGAAATTCTCAGGGAGCCCCCAGAAAGGGGCTGCATTGCTGCCACTGTCCACTTCTGTGTGGTGCCTGCATATCATGCAGAACCATTTATAAACCAGGCACGAGAGTTCTCTTCCTCAGTCAACTCCTCATGAGGCCTTAGGTGCACACTGGGAGAAGGAAGGTAGTGTGACAGTACTGGGGACAATGAGGATTTTGGCCACTTCCTGATGTCACATATTTGTGCCTTCAGGTCCTGCTCAAGACCAATCTTGTATATACCACTTCCATTTAAAGATGGAATGCTGAGGTGCACATCCAATTTTATGACTCTGTGGGTCAGACAACACCCAGTTCATGATGGTGCAGGGAAATCCCACCAGTGGGCAGAACTTCAAGCAATGTACTTCGTTGTTTATTTTGCTTGTAAGGAGAGACAGTCAGATGTGTGATTATATATTAATTCCTGGGCTGTGGCCAATGGTTTGGCTGGGTGGTAAGAGACTTGGAAGGAACTTGATTGGGAAATTGGTGACAAGGAGGTATGGGGAAGAGTTATGTGGATAGATCTCTCTGAATGGGACAAAGAAGTGAAGATGTTTGTGTCTCATATGAATGCTCACTGTCTTAGTTATCTAGTACTGCTATAACAGAAATACCACATGTGGATGGCTTTAACAAACAGAAATTTATTCTCTCACAGTCTAGGAGGTTAGAAGTTCGAATTCACGGTGTCAGCTTCAGGGGAAGGCTTTCTTTCTGTGTTGGCTCTGGGGGAAGGTCCCTGTCATCAATCTTCCCCTGGTCTAGGAGCTTCTCTGTGCAGGGACCCCAGGTCCAAAGCACACTCTCCCTTCTTGGTTCTTCATTCTTGGTGATAGGAGGTCCTTCTGTCTCTCTGCTCTCTTCTCTCTTTTATAACTCAAAAGAGATTGACTCAAGATACAACCTGATCTTGTGGTTCAGTCCTGCTCATTAACATAACTATCTCTAATCCTGACTCATTAACATCATAGAGGTAGGATTTACAACACATAGGAAAATCACATCAGATGATGAAATGATGGACAATCACCCAATACTAGGAGTCGTGGCCTAAGCAAGTTAATACACATTTTTGGGCAACACAATTCAATCCATGGCACTCACCAAATGATGACCTCGGCAGAGGAGGATTTTTACAATCAACTGGATAATATGACATGTTCTGTGGCTATGAGGCAGCCTCTTTCTCCAGCCACTCTTGTCATTGCCCAATGGGCTCATGAAAAATGTGGCCATGATGGGAGGGATGGAGGTTATGCATGGGCTCAGCTACATGGACTTCCACTCACCAAGGCTGACTTGGCTATAGCCACTACTGAGTGCCCAATCTGCCAGCAGCAGAGACCAACACTGACTCCCCCATATGGCACTATTGCTAGAGGCGATTAGCCAGCAACCTGGTGGCAGGTGGATTACATTGGACGACTTCCATCATGGGAAGAGCAGCATTTTGTTCTTACTGGAATAGACGTTTACTCTGGATAGAGATGTGCCTTCCCTGCATGCAGTGCTTCTGTCAAAATTACCCTCTGTGTACTTACTGAATGCCTTATCCCCCATTATGATTCTCACACAGCATTTCCTTGAATCAAGGAACTCATTTCACAGCAAATAAAGTTCAGCAATTGGTTCCTGCTCATGGAACTCACTGGTCTTACCATGTTTCCCATCATCCTCAACCTGCTGGCTTTATAGAACAGTGGAATGGTCTTCTAAAGACACAACTACAGCACCAGCTAAGTGGCAATATCTTGCAGGGTTGGGGCAATGTTTTCCAGGAGACTGTATATGCTCTAAACCAGCGTCCAGTATATGGTGTTGGTTCTCCTGTAGTCAGGATTCATGAGTCCAGGAACCAAAGGTGGGAAATGGGAGTGGCACCACTCACTATTACCCCTAGTGACCCACTCACAAAATTTTTGCTTTCTGTCTCCATGACCCTATATATACGTGTGTGTGTATTTTATATACATATATGTATATACATATACGTGTGTGTGTACATATATATATATATATATATATATATATATATATATATATAGCGCTTGGTAAAGCAGAGGGTCAGGAAAAAGAGGAAAACCCTTAATGATATGTATCAACACAGTGGCTGCAACAATGGGCTCAAGCACAACAACAATTGTTTAAGGATGGCACCGGACCAGGCAGTGCTTCGTTCTGTTGTACTTAGGGTTGCTATGGGATGGAACCAAGTCAATGGCACCTAACAACAACAACAACATACATATATAAAATATATTTATTTTCTTCTCTCTCTTATTCCATTACTTATTATAAATTATTAGATGTAAACAGGGCTAGCGCGTTTTTGGTTGTACGCATGTTGGTTGTATCATATTAGGTGCAAGTATGACTTTATAATTGTCTTTATTTAGAGATGTTTTAAGGTTTAAGGTGATGTGTACAGGTGCCAAGTTGACAAGGGGTGGACTGTGATGGTTAAGGCTGTCAGCTTGGCTAGGCCATGATTCTCAGTGACTCTTAGTTTGGCAGATATTATATAATCATCCACCATTTTGTGATCTGATGTGAGCAGCCAATCAGTTGAAAAGGGAGCCTGCTTGAGGGTGTGACTTGCATCCAATATATGTAGACATTCTGGCAAAGCTCACCCTCTCTGGATCCTACATCCGACTAGTCATCCTCTGACCTCTGGTTCCTGGGACATGAGCCAGAGCCTGCCACCTGATTTTGGATTCACCAACTCCTGTAGCCCTGTGAGCCAGCAGCCTACCTCCTGGCCTGTAGATTTTGGTTCAACAGGCCTATGGGACCACGTGAGTCAAGAGAAGCCTCCAGCCTGCCACTTGCCCTTGGATTTGGGACTTGCCAGCCTCCACAATTGCATGAGTTTTTTCCTTGAAATAAATCTCTTTCTACATATTTATATATATATGCTTCACTGGTTTTGCTCCTCTAGAGAACCCAGCCTAAGACAGGTGGTGTCTCTAGGAGCCTTACATAACTCTTCTCTGGGTTCTGGAGAACCATACCTTCATCCATGGTGTCAAAGGACATCACAAGTAAAATTAAGAAGAAAATGAGGCACTCACAGGTAAAACTAGCTAAACATGTATGGAAATAAGTCATCATAAATGAGAATCTATAGGTATAAAACACAGCAAAACAAACCCACTAAGATTATTAATATTGGCATTCATAGACTGTAAAATAACTATGTTGCTATATTTAAAAAATATTCACACAAACAAGAAACTATATAATGATTAAGAAAATTATATAGAATTTTTAGACATAGAAATTTGATATTGAAAACACAAAGGACAGTTTTATTAGTATATTAGAAGTGGCTAACAAACTCATGAAAAGAAACTTGTGATCATTAGCCATTAAAAAAAAAAAAACCTGTTGCTGTCAAGTCAATTCCAACTCATAGCGACCCTACAGGACAGAGTAAAACCTCCACATAGGGTTTCCAAGGAGTGGATGGTGAATTCGAAATGCCGACCTTTTGGTTAGCAGCCTGAGCTTTTAACCACATTAGTCATTAG